AGTTACAAAAATAAAATATACAGAAAATGTAATAGGTTAAAGAAATAATCAAACCAATTTAAAAATAGTTATTTTTTATACAAGACGATAAAGTGGTATTTTATCGTCGACCGAAAAGATTAATTCACGAGCGATGAATTAATTTCGGGAGACGATAATGCAATTTTATCGTCGCTCGTGTACAAACAACAATATTTTTTAAAAAGTTGTGCATAAAAACAAAACGAGTTTGACAAATAAATAAAGCTGTCTCTTTAGTTGTCAGTTTTGAGTCAATATTTTTTAATTCTCTTTCGTGTCGATTGCTGATTGAATTACAGCCACAAATAGCTCAAAACGAAATAAGTAAATTACCAACAGATATTCAGGCTGAGGCGACAAACGCCATATCCAAACTACTTCGGTTTAAATCCCGAATAAATTATGAAAAAGAATACAAAAATTTTCAAAAATGGAAGCAATTAAAAAACGTGCGAGAAGAAATAAAGTTTTTAACCTATCCTCGCTGTTAAAGTATCATTTAACCTACCTATGCGGTTAAAGTACTATTTTATCTACTATTTTTGATAGATATAGATATAAGGCAATTTTAACAGTTGCTATGGAAAAAAAATCTAAATTTAGGTAAAAAATAAAACTATCAACGTATCTATTAGATGTAATAGTAGACAAGGCCGACAAAAATGGTTATTGAGTGCCTTACAACCAGATAACCAGTATTCACTTTTATAAACATTTTCAATAAAATGTAAAATGACGAATACATGATTTTAATTTAGTATTAAAAGGGTATTAATATCCAAAATATCCTTTGGAGGTTCTTCTTCCATGGCTTTTAAGTTTTCTGAATGCACCATAGAACTGAAGGATGATTGCAAAGTTATTTTTATTTTACAGCCGCACTCATAATGGGTTATCGCGACGTCCGACGAGATTTTTTTTTATTTTATATGGATTTCTCAAGAAGCTAATAGAATGTTAGTTTTTCGGAACCGGTTTTGATTATTTATAGTGTTACGCGTACGTAGTGAGTCGGTTATCTTTCAAGTAAATCCCTGACATCCTTATGTAGCCCGAAAGATAGACGAAAGAAATTTATCTCGAATAGATTAAAGGTTATCTTAAAATCCTTCGGCCCACGGTGGGGTTTTAGCATGAAAAAGGTGATCGAAATTCGAAAAAGCAAATGTGTTTAAGATTTCCCAAAAAAAGATAAATGATAAGTTAAATCATCTCTGCCATGAATGGCGTTGCTATGGGTGTGTTTAGTTGCATTCATTTGTTTCAACGAAACGTCAAAGTTATTACTTCTCACAGATAAGAGGTAAATGGCTAAATTTTATGTTTAAAATTATAAATTGTTGTTGTTCTTGTGCTTTTACGTTTATATTATCGTTTTGATTGAAAATGGCTCAGCAAGCTGCAGGTATGTGTTCTACAAAAACGTATTATTTATTTTGATATTCTCTATACTAACGATTTTTTTGCAACTAAAAGTTAGGCGTTCAGAAAATTTGATTAAATTTGTGACATTTTTATTATACTTAGAGATATAGTTGCGCATTTCGATGAATTCAGCATATTGTCTATATACGTTTTACTTAGTAAACATTGGGCTTTCATACAGTAAAATAAAATACTGCGACTTTTTGCGATTTTGCTGATAAAATGAGAAAAACATTCTTGGTTTCCTCTAATTTGCCAATCAGTGATATACTAATGCGAGGTAAACCGCGATGGCATTGTTGTGTACAAAGCGATCGCATTAGTGCCATTAGCAGTTACAGCACAATTTGGCATTAGTAGCGACTTTAGTGGTATGGGCATTGTTCGCCCGGATCAGTCGTAGCATTAGTAGTAGTAGTTGCGATATTACTACTGGCACTGACCGTGGAAACACTGGAACAGTAATTTTTTCTTTCTTTTTTTAGAATCGACGAATTATCCTTTATTTTGTTCATATTATTTCCTCTTTAATTGAAAATAGCAATAATTTATATCAGGTCTACATAAAAAAATTTCGATCAACTATCAGTGTCAAATACCCCACTGTGCGGACCCTAGCTTATGCCATCGATATATTACATATAGTGATCATAACACATCACCACTTTTTAATAGACATGTATTCGATGACATCCATCTTAATGGATATATTTGAAGTTATACAAAATTGGTTAAATTTTATAAAAAAAAACATATTTTTGTGTTTGTACCTAGTTGTTCTGAAACTTAACCTTTTATTTTATGTGGTCTCATCTGTATCTACAATAAATTAATAGTATGATACTTAGCAAGAAAATCGCCTAATTGTAATAAAAAACGTACTTACATTAAATTCTGGTTGTCTTGACTTGAGGGTAATTATATTGATTTAAGTCATTTTACCACAGTTTAAAGAATATAAATATATATTTATATTCTTTAAACTGTGATTTTACTGACTTAACTTGCCTATCATCATGATTTAAGTCATAAATATAAACTTAAGTCATAAAAACGAATGAAATGCCATTATATTGATTTAAGTCTTTACAAAAATGACTCGACTTGAAATAAAATGATTTAAGTCAAAGACTTAAGACTTAAATCATTTGAACCTTGCGTTGAATTTGACAAGACTTAAATAATTTTGATTTTAGAAATGACATAAAGACTTGAATCTTTTTAAAACTGACTTGTTTCACTCTTCTTAACATACAAGTTGTCAACATATGACTCGACTTGAAATAAAATGATTTAAGTCAAAGACTTAAGACTTAAATCATTTGAACCTTGCGTTGAATTTGACAAGACTTAAATAATTTTGATTTTAGAAATGACATAAAGACTTGAATCTTTTTAAAACTGACTTGTTTCACTCTTCTTAACATACAAGTTGTCAACATATGATTTTATTATTGTCAAATGTAATTTGTTGTGCTGTCTATACTACTACCGTTATACTAGGTGAGTGCCACCGAAATGCTTTTTGCAATTTAAAACTTGTTCGAATTAGGCAAAAGCCGAACGTATAGAAAATTTTGACGTTCACAAAATAATAGGTTGACAACTTAAGACATAGATAACTGAAACAAGTTTAGATTGGAAAGTGCCCATAAGGACAATGTAAATAGGTACCTACTATTTGGCGCTATTCTTACAACGGTCGCGACCCGAAACTTCTGATAATTTCGGACCGGTTCGGCTTTTTCCGGAATTATGTCGCCAAAAATATTGTTTATTCAAATTTATTATTATTTTCTTTTAATTTTTTAAATAAAATACAGTGTGTTGCATATAAGAAACTTTATTTTATATACGGACATGTATGAAATACCTATGAAACATTGGAAACCGACGTCAAGGATTCGTGAACGGATGATTCGGACTAGTGAAATAGACACTTACCCATACAGCACACTTCGTCCCAGGGACTTACATTTTATGTCCATTTTACGTCGGTACGTCCCGGGACCAATTAGGGACGTACTATGTACGTACAAAAGTGTACGTACATAGTACGTGCCCCATGTACGTACTATTTACGTACATTGTAGGACTTCACTACGGACGTACATGCGAGTACGTACTACGGACGTACATGAGAGTATGTACTACGGACGTACATGCGAGTACGTACTACGGACGTACATGTGAGTAAGTACTACGTACGTATCTTAAAAATTTTTGAAAACGCATTACAAAATGTTATTTAATTTTAATATCATGACTGGATTATTTTGGTCAGATATACCCAATAATAATGAATGGACTGGATCAGTGGATCTTTTCTAGGGTAACGTTAATTCAAGTCACTCTAACCTACCTCTACTTCTTTTATTAATAAATCTAACCCGACCGCTATAAAAAATTATTTCCTAAATTATCCAATGACCATAATGCATGACAGCCTTTGAAGAAATCTGATGGGTTAAAAATGCAATATATTATGCAATCAAGCCTAACAGGAAAATTATGCAGTCCTATGTTTAAATTTCCCGCTAAGTTATTCGGTCACATTCGAGTCTTGTCGGAATCGGAAGTCGGGCGGTTTCTAATGGCGTTTTCGATTGGCAGAGCTAGAGCGCACGTGCGCACACAGTGTAGTTTCACCTTTTATTAATCAACGTAAAAAATAAAAACAACAATACACTGAGTGCGCACCTACTCCGATCCAGTTTTCGATTGCGCACCTACTCCGATCCAGTTTTCGATTTTGTGTTGTGTGTCATGGTGGCCGTAGGTTGTTTGGCTTCCACCTTGTTTTCTTTTGTCGTTGCCTTCGTTGCTCGTTGTTTCAAGGTAAGTTAAAGTGTAATAATATAATGTGACTATTTTACCTAGCATAGTCACAACCTCGAAGGATTGAGAATCGGCTCATTCAATCTTTTCAAAACAGAGGCAAGAATTAGATATTTGAATACTTAGTTTTCTTTTTGTATTTTTTAGTTAGAAGCAGTTCCAGAATAAAAAAATAAAATATCTATCAACATCCAATAAAAGACAGAGTTGCCGGACCGAAGCCAGACTCACGGGTGTATCAAGACATAAGGGACCCTGTACCTGAGTTTTTATATTAATAAATATTTTAAGCTGACTTCCATTGAATTATTTCTAATTAAATTCCTAGGTCGTATAAGTCGTTGAAAAATGTACGTCCATAGTACGTATATTGTACGTCCATAGTACGTACATTGTACGTACTTTCGGTCATTTTACGTCCAGTTTTGGTCCGGAACAAAACTGGAATGTACGTACATGCGACGTACATAGGACGTACATTGCCACGTCCCAGGGACGTACAGAGCGTTGGAAAATGTACGTCCCCGGTATATACATAGTACGTACATGTACGTACTTGTACGTACCAGGGACCTGACGTTCGTCCCAACACTACGTACCAGGTACGTACATAGTACGTACCGTGGCTGTATGGGTAATGCTCTATAGTCTTGGAAAGAAAAAAACACCTTATATATAATAAAATAATTTATTTACAAAAAGAAATCTAAAAGCCAAGAAGAGTATTATTTTACAATAGATAATATATTGGAAATCAGTTATATACAAATTAAATAGGACTATCGTACAAATACACTTTATAAATTACCCTATCTTCAAACCAGCCACATTATAGTTAACTATTAATTTTAACTCTTATAATAAATTTGTTTTCATCAGAAATTAACATAAATAGGAGACATTCTTATCACATTAATTGGCAAGTGCAAAAGAAAAATATATATTTAGCTAGATAAAAAAAGGTTCTTATAAATTTAAGGATTGTTGTAACCTACGGAAATAATAAACTATTTCCGTACATTACAACTGCTATTTCTTGTTAAAGGAACAAGTAACCGTGTTCGTTGAGCTTTAACAAGAAAAACTACACGCAATATAACTTAATTTAAATTACAGTCAAATCATTCTGTAAAAATAAACAATAGATCTTGTAAACTATAAACAATGCTGAATCTGAGTTATAGAAAAAAGATAATGTATTCATGATTTTAATCAAAGGTACCACATTGTCTGTTAATCCATTTTATTGTACTAGACACTAATGAGTAGATTAAGAAGTTTCAAAATGGCATCCAGGGAAACTTCGTGGTTCACAAAAACAGTCACGCAATTTTTTAATGTCTTTTCTTTCAGAGTAGTTAATAAATAAATTGAATTTCCTAAAATTTCTCATCCAGCTGAACTTGCACCGGATGATTGGGATATATTTCCAACTAGTGACGATCCCGAACTTAAAAGTGTCCTAAAACCTCTCGTCGCACCCTATAAAAAGTATTCAAATCAGTAAACAATTAAATTATGGCGTTCACAATATACAATATGATCGAAAAAAAAAACGACGTCAAAGATAGCTATTAAATGAAAATCGCTGTCATTTTATATGTAAAATTATATGGGAAACGTCATCGATGTTTATTTCCAAGCCAACTGGACGCCGTTTTTTTTTCACCATACGGTATACTATCAATACAACGTGTGTAGAAAATAATGTAAGAAATTTCAGTGGGTGACACTATAGATAAAAAATACCACCTAAGGTGCTTCCCGAGAAAATTACAGTTCATGAAAGTGTATATAAAATAATAGACTCACCGACACCGGCAAAAAAACCTTAAAATTTTGATGCATTTTAAAGTTTAATATATTTTGTAGTAGGCCGATTTTGATGATTTTAATCAATTTGTAGTTAAATTATTTGACATTTTGGTATCTATTTTTGAATTAAAAATAAAAGTTTCCATCTGTAAATTACACGAGGGAAAACAAAATTACCTATTAATATATATTGATATTGGTGAAAGTTTGATATTTTGGTGAAAGTTCAAAACAGACTGTGGAAAATGTTAACACAAGGATTTTAAAAATCATTTTATCATCTAGGTATGTCTTTTCTGGAGAGTTTGTTTTTTGATTAATCGCAAGAGCGAATTTATTTTCATTGGAGATATTCGAGTTTGAATAAGACAGTAACGATTTACAGCAATTTTAGCATTGATTTTGGATCCTGTTCACTATACTTCTAAAATAGTGTTTCTAGTATATACAGGGTACTACAAATTCGAGGTAAGAGCATTGGTATCTCGGAAACCGTAATAGACGAAGTACCATACGAAGATGATTAAATTGAAGCAAAGTTGCGCTTTGGGATATTTACCAAGATGCCATCAAAAAAGTTTTAAGTTTAAGGATTGAAATTTGGAAATTTCAAGGATAGCTGAGTTTTTGGGAAAAAACGGATTTTTTGAAAATCAATTTTATTTTTTCCTGTCGTTACTTTTTAGAAAATCAAAAAACTAATTGCACATTCTCATAGCTACTTTATTAGGGCTATCTGACAGTATTTTTAGATTTTCAAATTAGACGATAGTTTGTGAGATACAGAGGCCAACTTATTTTTTTTAAATACGGACCTGCATCTTTTATTCCAGTTTTTGAAAGAACTCGGTCTCCTAAGTACAACGATATGCCACACTTTATACTTTTTTTGTTTTTGGTACCTTAACAACAACAAAACTATTTAGTTATTATTTAAAATAATTTCCAGTCCGAGTCTGTTTTTTAAATTATTTAATCTGAATATATTCATCGCAATAATATTGATCAGCTCTAACTAAGATTGAATAAGGAAAATTGAGCCAATTGAAAAATTCAAATAAATAATAACCAGGTCAGCAATTTAAAGATACTATTTTCAACTTTTTTATTATGAATTTGAAATCTCAGTGTACAATATAATAATATGCATAATATTAATCGCTGTTATTATAAATAAATCAACTTCTACAGACTAGTTTGTAATGCTCTACATGTTCGAAAGGGTTACCACTTTGCCTATTGCACAAATTTATTGTAAATGTTGAAAAATAATGATTTCACTTTTACAACTGACGTCAAGTAATGTAACACCCCGCCGCCCCTTGGTAACAGGTCCAGGAACCTCGATGGCCATTATACTGCTCTATCATTTCCAATCCATCTTCCGGGGAAATGATTTGATTGTTCATATTATATTATATTTATATTATTTATGTTTTATTGCATTTGATTTGTCGTATTCAATGTTTTACTCCACGACATTGTTAAGTTTGAAGGCTTATCTCAATATTGTAATGATGAATAGATTAAATATTAAAAAAAACAGAGCTGGACTTGAAATTAGTTTAAATAAATTGTGTTCAAATGTCCGAAACAAAAAAAAATATCAAGTGTGGCATATCATTTTACTAAGGAGATCGAGTTCTTTGAAAAATGAAATAATAAATGCAGGTCCGTATTTAAAAAAAAATAAGTCGGCCTCTGTATCTCACAAATTATCAGTTAATTTAAAAATCTAAAAATACTATCAGATAGCCGTAATAAAATGGCTATGAGAATGTGCAGTTAGTTTTTTTTTATTTTCTAAAAAGTAACTACAGGAAAAAATAGAGGGACGGCGAGGCCCAGGAAGAAAACAACATTCCTGGGTAAGAAACATACTGGATTGGTGTAACATCAGCGACGCAGTCATCATATTTCGAAGAGCCAAAAACGGCACTCTACACATTGTATGAAGAGTACAGACAATCGTCAACGTGCGGCTAAGCACAAGGCACAGGAAGAAGAACTACAGGAAAAAATAAAATTGATTTTCAAAAAAATTCGTTTTTTTCCAAAAAACTCAGCAATCCTTGAATTTTTTACAACTCTTTTGGTGGCATATTGGTGAACATCCCAAAGCGCAACTTTGCCCCAATTTAACCATCTTCGTATCTATTACGGTTACCGAGATACCAATGCTCATACCCCGAATTTGCAGCACCCTGTATAGAGTAAATGTCAATACTCTAGTAGAGATGGTTTTAAGTTCTAAAGTATCGGCTATTGTGCTTTAATTAATCATGGTAGAAATCAACTTTAGAACTTAAAACCATATCTGCTAGAGTAACTGTCTAACAGACAAAATGTAAAATGATTTTTCAAAGACAGTGACATTCTTTGAATAAGAAGACTAAGGAAGGAGCATATCAAAAATCTTAGGTACACCGCGATAGGCCTCAAATATGGCCGACTTAAATTCCGGTTTATCAGTGCCGTTCTAATTTTATTTAAAAAATGTAAAACTATGATGTAGGGTAGACGTGGGGTAGACTCAATAATTTGTTATTTTATTTTACGTTGTGAATAAATGTTGGTATAGTAAACGCCACGAATGTTTGGGAGTGATTCATCGGTCGCTACCATGTGAACTAATCTGTTCAAGGTCACATAAAACTTAATGCCAGTGCCGTGGTGTTTCAAGTCATATAATAATCTGTTGTAATTTGTTGTTTTAACTGTCAAAGTCTTGTCAAAACATATATTTGGTTATAAATATAAACTGGAATGCCCCAGTGGTCGCACTGCAAGCACACCAATGGACTGACGCACCAAAACGAATCAATCAAAGAAACGCGATATAGTATCGTCTTTGTCAATCACACTAACATTTTAGAATAAGTAGGAGGAGCGCAGGCAGAAGATTAGACCGGGCCTTTAAAAACCTACGTCTGCGGTAAATATTTACGTTTTTAATGTAAAAATGATAGCGCGCGTGTCGATTCTAACTTCATCAAGCGATGAATCGCTCCCAAACATTCGTGGCGTTTACTTTAGTTATTAAAATTGTTATAAAAATATATAATTCTAATAAAAATAGATCAGTTAATAAGTATTTATTAACACAAACATCCGATACGCTACTGAAGCAGGTAAGTCAAATTAACGTATCAAAATTCTTTGACATCTGATCTTTGACAAGTAATAAATAAAAGCTAAAATGCAAGAAAATATATAATTTAGTTAATTTAAGTGAATTTCATAAATGATCGGTTTACTATACGTATGTATATTATATAGTTACTTACTAGCAAAAAGTTGTTCCATTATTTCACTCAATTTTTGCCGAGATCTACCGCACGCTACACAACCAACTATTTTAGAGTCTTTTTCAATAAATTGCGATAATGTCACTGTTAATTTAAGTTCTGCCACAATTTCCATCTAGATTTACTACCTTTATACAACTATAAGTAGTAGAATAAATAATAAATAACATAAAATAAGCTCCGTAAAGACTGACAAATCCACAAAATTTCAAATCAAATTCAAATGTGTCAAATGAATCGTCAAACAGAACTGTCAAGGATCCCCACCCTAGAGAGATTTTTCCGCCCACCATGCATGAATACATGGATAGCATTATGCTCCTTCCTTAGTCTTCTTATTCAAAAGTGACATTACATAAATCATATACATTTTATATGTTTGTTGACTACGACCAAAAAGCAAGGGCATTGTTTTAATGTAAGAAATACGAAAAAATATTAGTCTTTTTCAAACGCGAATATCTCCCAAAAAAAGCTATTGAGATGATTCAAAAAATAAACTTTTGAGGAAGATACACCTATATGATAAAGATTTTTAAATTCCTTGCTCTGTTAACATACTCCACAGGGTGTTGCATACTTACACCAAAATATCAACATTTTGGGGAAAGAATATCACAAGAGGGGAAACTCTTATAATTGACAGATGGCAACTTTCATTTCTAATTTAGAGAGAGATATTAAAAAGTCAAATAACTTGGCTACAAATTGCTTAAAAATTATCAAAATCGGCCCACCTAGAACAAAATATATCAAACTGTAAAATACATCAAAATTTTAAGGTGCCCGTTTTTTGTGCCGATAAGTGTATGTTTTGATATTTTTAAGAACATTGGTAAATAAGGGTAAACCGTTTTTCTCGAAATTGGATATTTTTAATCACATTTTAATACCGAAGCAAATAGCGATAGTGTGAAAATCACTTCTGAAAAAGTACTTTTTCAATATTAACGTAGACGGTAGTTTCTCAGAAAACTTTTTGACCTTAATGACGAAAAAGCTGAGTTTTTATGAATTTGTAATAACGGGCTCTTCATTTAGTTCGAAATCGTAAACGGTTCTTAATTAAACAAATTAACATTGTAGTTACATACAAAGAATATTCTAAAAAATTACGAGATATTTTTTAAACGAGAGCTATAAGGGCTAGCTGTAAAGGAGTTCAAGGGTTTTAGCTTCCTATAGAAAATTTTTACGGCATGTTCGCAGAAACTTTTTATTTTATTTTGATCTGTAGTACCACTCACTGAAATTTGGTACACTATTTTTTACGCACTGTACAGGGTGGACCAAATTGGACGCTTTTAAAGGGAAACACTCTTTTCTATAGGAGGTAGACGAAAACTAATTTGGGTGTCT